AAAAAAAAAAAAAAAGAATATGCTGCTTCCAATTACACACAGCCCACCCTGGAAAGGAACAATAATTATCTATCTGTAAGAGAAATGAAGATGCTGATTTGGGGGCACAAGTGGGGCACATAAGCAATCTTTAGTAGGATGACAGACCTGAAGAAGATAAAAGAGGATAGCAGTGCCTTTAGGGCTTAATTCAGGTTGCAGCTTCGGGAAAAAAAATCACTGGTCATCTCTGCCTTTGTATCCACAGTGTACTACCACTAAGCATAGCCTGAGAACAAACCACTGGGATGGCCTATACCCTCTCTTAAAATAGATGAAATTCCAAGGACAGGTGCCACAAGGAAAAGGCTACAACTCCCACAGCAGAAAATACATATTTATTATAAAATAATGTTTGTTTCATGATGAGAGTAGAAAAATAACACTATGAGCTACTAAAAAAAGCTCTGAAGCTGAGTCTTTTTGAGCAATGGGGTGAGAGGCTTTGCATCATTCTGGGAGTCCACCAATATGAGGCTCTCTGGGCTCATACAGGACAGGTATGGCACAGAACATATAGGGGCATGTGGCTCAGGTCCTGCTGGAAGCCCAAGGAGCCTAGATGGTCCACATAAGATGCCCTGGCCATGATGATCAAAGAGAAAACTTGAGGTCAGCAGGGAATTGGTTCTGAGAAGGGCCAGGATAAGGATAGCCTTGCCCCTCCCTACACTTCAGTGCAGAAGAGTCTCTCGAGCTGATGGTCCAGGTTTAGAAGATGGTGCCCACTGGCCTTATGCTGGGTTGGTTGCTCAAATGTCTTTGCTGCATCACCTTTCCCAGGAAAACTTGACCCACCAATTCTCACTGGTATGACGCAAGTACCAGAAGTGTGTGTAGTGTCAGCCTGATGGGCTGCTGGCTGAAATTTCTGCACGTCAAATCCTGTCCATACTGATGGCAGAAAGAAAGAAAATGTTAAAAGACCTGTGAATAAGAGCAGCTGGCCTGAACTGTTCTATATTCCAAGCTCTTTGGCCCCAAAGAACGAGGAGAATATCTTCCCTAAGTGGGAAATTTTCTACCTACACTAAACAGAAAAGGCAGTCCCACAGACACCCCTTATCCCCTCCAGAAAAAAAGTCTTCTAGATTCTTCAGGCTTTAGAACATGAATCGCTCCCTGGGATGGGAACCCAACCCTCCAAGGATGGGAAATGGTCCCTCAGCAGTAGTACCTGAAGAAAGCAGCCAGGGTGAGCACTTCAAGTAGCAGCTCTGAGCCACAGAAGAAGAGCAAGATGGCGTTCATGATGGCTTCCAGGCGGAGCACGTAGGTCTGTAGCAGCAAGTAGTAGGAGGCCATCACGGCAGATGGGAAGGTCAAAGCCATGCTAATAACAAGTGGCATCTTTCGCTGGCAGAGGTTTCCCTTTGTACCTGTCAGACACACCCCATGGAGTCACCTCCAAGTGGTCTGTTTTCCCTGGCCTCAGGAGCTGGTGAGAGCTCGGAGCCTGTAGCTCAGTGGTTAGGGTGATGGCCATATATACCAGGGCTGGCAGGTTTGAACCCATCCTGGGCCTGCTAAACAACAGTGACAACCACAACAACAACAACAAAAAATAGCTGGGCGTTGTGGTGGGCATCTGTAGTCCCAGCTACTTGGGAGGCTAAGGCAAGAAAATTGCTTAAGCCCAAGAGTTTAAAGTTGCTATAAGCTGTGACACCATGACACTCTACCAGGGGCGACATAGTGAGACTCTTGTCTCAAAAAAAAAAAAAAAAAAAAGATGGGCTGGTGAGGCAGAGAATAACACTCCTGAATGGAGATATACACATTTATAAGCAGGGTCCCACTCTACTAAAAATTTGAGGCCTTGGGGGAGTTATAAGATTGGAGTCATTTATTCCAGAAGTCCTGTGTCCAGCCTGGCTCCCACTGAAGGGACAAAGGAATCTTTATTTAGGAAAAAAAAAATCTGATTATAAAAATAATACAATCTAACCCCACGACTGCATTAATGTACACAGTGATGATTTAATAAAATAATAATACAATCATTGAAAACTTTACAATTAATATAGAAAATGATTTTAGAGAATACGAAAGTGAAAGACTTCCATGACCCCAGACCCTGAAGACAGTGTCATTACGCAATGATGTAACTGTTTCAAACTTTTTTGTATGTGTATGCTCATGTATTACTGTTTATTATTATAAAAAATATGTAGAATCTGGCTTGGCACCTATGGCTCAAGCGGCTAAGGCGCCAGCCACATACACCTAAGGTGGCGGGTTCAAATCCCCAGCCCGGGCCCGCCA